GTAACTACAGAAATGGTATCCGAAAATTGAATTCAAAGAACAGTGTAACTTCAAAGAATCTTCCAGGGAAAATCACCATAAGGCCAAAAGGGATTTGGTATTTTTTATTCCCCGACGCCCGCATGTCTCTGTTTGCAGTTGCAAATATTGTTAAGTCGGGGGAGCCGCCCTCGGAATTATCCGTCATTGTGTTCGTACCTACACATTCGTCGTCACCAAGTTTATTCCTGGGCTGTATCTGTGGTACTACCGGGATACATAATAGGTTGGGGAAAAAGTTTCTTAGCATTTTATATGAAAATTCAAAACATTTTTAATAAAGTTTATTTATATTTAACTTAAGAATGTAGGTACCGTTTTGTTCGATAACTTCCTACCATCTTTTTCTTTGTAGGGACATGATCCCATTGCTATAGAAATTCTGGGGCTTCTGATCAAAAAACCGCGACAAGTGGTTTTGGCAGTCCTCTCGTGATGTTAACCTGACACTGCCTAAAGAATTCTGAAGAGACCGAAACAAGTAGAAATCTACTTGTTTATTACTTATTTCTACTTGTTTCGGTCAGGACTATACAGCGGATGCATTAACACCTCCCAGTCAAACTCTCTTAATTTTTTGCCGAGTGGCTAAAGATATGTGAGGTCTAGTGTTATCATGATAAAAAAACCACCCTTCTGTTGATCAATTTCGGCCGCTTTCTCTCACCTTCTTGCTTTAATCTCATCAATTGTTCGCAGTAGAGTTCAGAATCAATGGTCCCTAATTTGAATTTGGAGTTATCTTTTTTAAATTTTAAACTTTTTAATGATACCAAGACCAGCCATTTACGGTGGTAGAGCCACGCAGCAGCCTGGTTCGCGGTTCGTCTGGTAAGTGAGGTAGCCGGAGCCCAATTTCCAAAAAGGTTGTCAACGCATCTGCGCACCCTCGGGTGTAGCAGATGTCTGTCTGCTCGTTTGGCAACTTTTCACAAAAAAAAAGCCAGATACAAATGGTATAGCCAAAGAGATTATATTATAAGTACATACATACTATTTGCGAAAAGAGTTTTTCCCTAATCTAATATATGGCGTGGGCCGAGTCTACTTGGACAGATTCCGACGATATATTGAAGAGTCTTAGAGATGCCCGGTTTCTGAGGAACTTTTATCGGCACTCTATCTATTCGTTAGCGCTATTGGTTCCATAGCTTACGAGACCGTCACAATATATTTATATCTACTTAAACCCATACATGTATGTGATGACGGCATAATTTATTAAAATTTCCATTTGATGCGTATAAAAATTAAAATTTAACTAAATAACCATAACAAGTAACCAACAATGTAATTGACATAAACTTACATACTATTCATACATATTTTATTGTTAAACTAGCGACCCTCCCCGGCTTTGCACGGGTGCAATGTATTATATATATATGAACCTTCCTCTTGAATCAATCTATCTAGTAAAAAAACCCGCATCAAGATCCGTTGTGTAGTTTTAAAGATCTAAGCATACATAGGAACAGACAGACATCGGGACGACTTTGTTTTATACTATGTAGTTGATACACAGCAAAGAGACGTTTACATTTCAAGTGACATTTTACCACAGTCACTCACTTGTTCACCACTAGCACTTAAACTTTATGGTATGGTATTAAAGTTCTAATTGACTTTTAAGTATTATTACGAATCTTTTGTACGGGAATAATATCTAGAAAAGTGTTGACTTTTTCAGGCAATTTTTTAAATTTTTTCTTTCATAAGAACCTTCTGATAATAACAACAAAAAAAGTGAAATCGGTCCAGCAGTTCACGCGTGATGGCGTGACCAAGGAAAATAGGGATTCATTTTTATATATACAGATATATTTAAGCCTCTTTGACATTTAAAAGAATAGGTCTTGGTTTCTGACATTCTGCTTTTTTTATGCCAATGAAATAAAATTAAAAGTAAAAAAAATTGAAGAAAAGAATTTGAAGATTTGGCGGGAAATGCGAGTCTCAAGCCGGCGTGGAAACGTCTCCCTCCGCCGCCGCATGAGGTCGTTAGTCGTTACGGGCGGCCATTCAGAGCGTCGCCGGCTCCGCTGGCGTGCAATTATGTATGTTGCACGCGTCACTTGACTGTGTTCACCCTCTCCTGTAACAAGCGGAGCTATCTTGATATTTGAGAATTTTTCAGCCGACGTATATAGGACTAAGGTAACGCTACGAGTGCGGGAGTTGGCACTATAATCAGTGTTAAGACCCCATCGAAGTAATTTAGTTTTCAAGGGAAGTCATCATTATTTCAGCCTGTCTTAGTACGCTGGTCGACGTTAGCCTATTAACAATTATTGATTACGGAATCATATATAAATGTTACTTTCTCTTTTCACTAGTTTTCTCTAAAAGTACGTATCTTTACTACTTATTTATTAATTTTACAATATAAGACAAAACCTGATGTTCCTGGTTTTACTGTCGGTCATAAACTGGAAAGGGTTGAAAACGTCGGAAATTTTAAATCAAAATGAAACGTAATAAAATCCGTTATATAGGTTCATTTAAAAAGACATAAAACAATTAAACCGTCACTAATATCACACATGGTATATATTATAACTATTGTACGTAATACTCAATGTTTAAAATAAAATAAAAGTAGCAAAAGAAAAATAATTAAACATTTTATTCCTTGTCCCAGTATTCTTTGTTTGTGAAAAATGTATTAAACGCAACTCTCATAATTTTTTACCAAACGCGCCAAAAACAGTATAACTGCAAAACGAAAAAAAAGAACTTCTAATAAACAAATACAAATTCGGTTATAGAATTGATTAAATTCAAAGGAAATCTATGTGCTGCTGCGGAAGTGACAGTCAATGGAAGGAAATACGCACCTAAAGTAGATGGATAAAAGGTAACTACGATCTGAAATCTGGACTTCATGTCCGAGGATCAAGAATCGGTGATTCTCGTGTTTTTAAAATGACAGCGAACAGTGATTACAGAGGCCTAATTCGATAAATAGGGCTCCTTCATCCCTTCGGCCCGCACCCCTCTACGCGGCAATGGTTAACTGAATTTATTACTTGATTGCACCGTTTGTGTGAAAACATGGCACGGGGCCCACTATTTCTAGCGACGTCCATCATAAGTTTGTTAAATGTGCACGGTGAAAAACGTTATTCAGTCAACATGCACTGTGATGACGTTGCAGAAAGTACGCTGGCTAGTTTAAAAAATATTTTATCTGTGTTAATTTAAAACTATGAGCCCTACAGAAAAGCAACGTCCAAGTATCTAATGAATCGTGTTCCACGTAAATGCAGCATTATTGAGCTTAATTTAATTTTTTTTATTGCTTACAAACGCGAGGAGAAATCTTGTTAAGGCAAGCCAAGTCTTTGTGGTTCCATTATTTCAGATTGAAAGTCCAAAATCTTCTGATACGCTGTTTTTCCTTACTTTTTAGGATAATAGATAGGTTATACAAATGGACAAAATGACATTGAAAGTAGCGGGTGCTGGTTGAACAGTTGCCAACTCCACTTAGAAATACGGCTAGTTGAATATTCAGTCTTCTAAGTAATCACTGACCAGCATTTGAGAGATTCCATTCGGAGAGAGCGTATTCAAGCAAACTAAAACGAAAATCGAAGTTTCAAGAAACTCTGCCGTTCCTACTCATTAAAGTTATTGTTTCCGTACTCCTGCTACATAGGACTTATAGAAAGAGAAAAAGTTTTAATGCAGGGAATATTTAAACTTAGATTTAGGAAGAACAATGAAATGTAAAAGATGTTAAAATCTCAGTAGATGAGATAATATGGAATTTTTTTTAATCTGTTTATGAATTGTAACTATAGAGATAGGGAGAATATTCCAGCTCAATATAGAAGTAGAGAACGGTCTTAACCTTAATAAAAATAAAAATGGAAGTATGCCGTTGTGTGCGCATCATGGAATAAACTACTGGGTTTATCATCATCCTCATCTTTTTAGCTTGTTTGAGTCCACTGCTGAACATAGGCCTCCCCCATAGACTGCCACGAAGTATGAACCTGAGATAAATGCATCCATCGACTTCCCGCACATTTGCACAGGTCGTCACTCCATCTAGTGGGGGGTCGTCCTACACTGCGATGGCCAGTACCTACGAGTCTGTCACTTAAGAACCTTTCTTCCCCAAAGGTTATCGGTTCTACAAGCTGTATGGCCGGCCCATCGCCACTTCAGCGTGCTAATCTTCTGAGCTATGTCGGTTACCGATTATCACTGAATTGATTTCAATTAATTCTTCTATGTTTTATTTCATAAGCCTACGAATCTTAAGCGACGCTTATATATAAAAATATTATGATGTTTTCATTTAATCTATTATTGCTTTTATTAAAATAAAACAACGATTTTTGTAAGCACTACGTGTCATGTGTGTTATCTTGCCGCTTATCAAGCCGGGGGCAGAAGTACCGGTCCAATAATGTTTGTTCTTCTTGATATAAATACATTGTTAATATAATGACCAACGCAGACGAAGGGTTGAACGTATCAGCTAGTTAGTTATAATTACTAACTTTTTTTAACTAAGCAAGAAATCTTTGTGTTCAGAGAGGGTTCTTAGAGCAAATGAGAAAGTTCAAATAAGTATATCCGGCGATTTCTGTTAAAAAAAGTATTCTGTTTTTTTATTTCATCACAACCCTTGTAAAAACTTTTGAACAATAATTTTTGTTACATAGGTACTTACATACATTTGTGATACATTTTTGGTAATAAAGTGGTGTTTTGTTTCATATTTATGTGTTGCTTAATATTTATTTACGAGTCCTTTGTAGCTTAGGCTATCGTTAGCATGTCACGTGACCGATGAGAAAGGATTTAAAACGACGGGAGATAGAGAACGTCGAGATTGACCGGTTCAGTGTACCACAGTCTGCCACGTTCACACGAACATATTTTTAGTTGTATGTAACTTTTATCAAACGATTTTTGTAGGCTGTGGCCGAGCTATTGTGTGGGTTATGTCCAGCGGTCGAGAGCTCGCCGCTCGCGCCGCGACACGCTTCGTTACCAATAAGTATGATTTACTTCCATCTCGATCCGATTTACAAAATACATAAGTAAGCCGCAACGGCGTATATAATCTGTAAGGAAAAGAAGATCGGTCGCTCGTCTTTGGTCAAGATGAACTATATTGTCATTTTTAAAAAGACTGTTAAAACATTTTGTATTGTGTTGTTTGTTGTGTCTCTGTTGGCACAAATCGTGGACCGAATGAAACGAACTAATGTAATTGCAAATAAATGCCTCCAAATTATGAACTAAATAATAATTTTCTTGTCAAAAATTGCCTAAACTAAAGAATATAAAAAATGTGCTACAGTTTATCCAAAAAAATTAAGGATGCGAAAGTCTTTTTTTTTTTTAAATAGAATGTTCAAATAATTTAGATTTTATGTGCATTAAGGAAAAATTAAATCTTTTCAATTACGACAGATGGGCGCCGGCGTGTATGGAAGAGCGAAACTCAGGAGTAAGAAAAGTATTTTAATGGGAAGCACTAAATCAAATTTTGATTACGGTCGAAGGTCGTATATATTGGCGGTCGTAATTTAGCCAGGCGTGGACGGCTTAAAATGTATTCGGCTGGTGAAAAAAACTCACCTTTATTGCGAAGTTATTTATTCGATGCACAAACGCTAAACATCTAAGTATTACAATGAAGAGGTTTAAATGCGGTCGGACGACGCTGCCGCGCGAATAATCTCGTGTATGGAGCGGGTACCGATACAATATTACGATAATGCCTCATATCGTTTGAAAACCCATCGATATTAGAAAACTCAAAGATCTTGGGCTGACAGACGAGACGGCGCTGTTTTATTCAATAGAAGACACCCTCTTAACTAGCTGAAATCAATCGGACCAACCCTGTCAGTTAAAGTAGAAGATCGAGCAATAACCAGGGCTACATTGGTTTAATTTTTTCCAAGTCCGAAATCGAAGATCACAAAAACGTTTTAGCTACATCGAAGTTTTCCGCTTTGCATTATGGCTGCTTTGAATCAATTCAACCATTCCAGGGCACATTGACCGAATACTTGCCGAGGACACATTCTGCAGGCCCATAGTTGACGTAAAAGTTAAAAGTTTACATTCGACGCCTTCGGCCAAGGGACCGGCCGCACAAACTAGCCTCCCTCAATTGCTGTCCGTACGGCCGCGAACAAACAGCAATAAATACGGAGCACCATATATCTGTCGGCGGTCGGCGAGCATTATTTATGGCGGCGGTTGTATAAATCGCGCAGTGTGTAAACAGCCGCGGCCGCGGCCCGCCCCGCGCCCCCCAGCGCTGACAAGTACCGAAGTCATTTCGGCGTTCGACCGCAGCTTCCTGCCTCCTACGCTGATGAGTCATTTGTTGATGCGCACCGATTACGTCCAGCCTTTTCGGCGGTCCTCTACGCGCCGAATTGTGAGGTAATTGCGGCGCGCGCAAAATTATGTCGTTAAATCCGTTTCGTAACATTATTGCACAGGGCCACGCAAAAGCGTGCTATAAAAAAAAAGTCCTCTTAATGTCATCAGGGGCCCGTATAGTTGGTCTAACAGATTAATCACCCTTTTCCTTCTAATAAATCTTCTCCATAGAAATGGAGGATCGAAATTTCTGAATCGACAAACTATATATTATATATATATAAGGTATTATCTATGTACGTTATTTAAATTAACATAATGTTTAGTTCACGGCATTTCCAAAATATGTAGTTGATCTTAATAATGAATTTCAATAGCTTTCTCATGATATTATGATTAAAATATGAAAGAGAAAGTGAAATTTTTTTGCAAATTTTTGCGATATTTGCGATAAACGAAAATATCTTTTTTAAGGATCAAACATTTGAAATATTTAGAGAAATTATAAAAAAAATTGATGATTACTTAAAACGTATAACAAGGGATCAACTGCCAATTGTTCGGTCATGGTTGAAGCGGGCTTATCACAACAATGCCCCGCTATCAAAATCCGTCTACGGCGTCTTGTTACCCGAAAATTTATTTAAATTTATTCCGCTTCGCATTGGGGCTGCTGTTACAATTGCAGTTACAGTTATGTGTAACGTATAATAATTATGTACATCATTCGTACGTTGCAAAAATTCGGCCTGGCTCGCGAATTATCATTTCAAATGACGCCATATCATAGGAAGGTATATCAGAATATTGGCTTGCTTCGATTTAACGTCCATTTAGTATCTTCCTAAAGTAAATAAGTTATTATTACAACTCATTTTAAATGAAACCGTTTGTTTAAATATCAAGTAATAACATATCAATTGCTAACTTATTTTAGAACGTAGTTCCTTATCGGAAATCATCGTTCTGATTTTTTTGCTGGCTGAGGGGCTAGACAGAGGAAAGTGTAAAATGAAAAAAGCATGAAGAAGATTTTTACAAAAAAAATAAACGATTTCAAAAAACTCTAATAGCACTAAAATATTTATAATAATACTAAATCTACTATAAAGTATCAGCCTATACATGTCTTACTTCTGGGCAAAGGCCTCCTCTGTAAAGAGGCTATCAGGGCATAGTCCATTACGCGGCTCCACTGCGGATTGGCAGACTTCACATATCATCGAAATTTTTTTAATTACTATTTCGAAAATACGCCGATTTCCTCACGATGTTATGTCCTTCGCCGCACGTGATTTGAATTCAGCAATTAATCATTTCATTGGTGCCGGCACCGGGGATCGAACTCAGGTTGCTCGAGTATATTGAATTAAAGGCGAGCGCCCAGACACTGAGCTATCACGGCTCTATCAAAATCCAACATAATCAAATCTAAAAATCTATCCTATGTAAGGTAACCTATCTAACCTCTAACAAAATTAAACAACTTTTGGAATCGGTGCCTTTGTTCACCATGGGTAATGGTTATACGCCATAACACCTTATTTAAAGAATAGTATTACAATCAACAAAGCTCAGTGATTATCTGTGTAAGACTGTAGGTGAGTCTACCTTCCCTTCGCTACATCCACGCAACAACTGTTGCGCGAATGGGTAAGTACCATGACCACACAAAATACCGGCGTGAAGTGACAGTGTTATACTTCTGCGTTTCATCTGGTGAGTGAGGTAGCCGGGGCACACTTTTTCATAAGGTGGCAACGCATCTGCAATCCTACGGGCGCGCGTTGCAAATATCAATGGGCGGCGGTTATCACTTAAGATCCGGTGAAGCGCAAAATCGCTTGTCATCTCCCGTAAAATAACCTACAACTCCAAGGTATTTAATTAAACCGTTATCAATGGCATTAAACGTCTTTCTCACAAATAAACTGATAACAGTACTGGCTCAGAAAGACGACTGAAACATGAGTACTACGCGGGGGATAAAATTATTCAATTATTATATACTAGCGACCCACCCCGGCTTCGCAGGGATGGTATACATATAAACCTTCCTCTTGAATCACTCTATCTAGTAAAAAGAACCGCATCCGTTGCGTAGTTATAAAGATCTAAGTATACATAGGGACAGACAGCGGGACGACTTTGTTTCATACTATGTAGTGATTTTTTAGTTATTGGACATACAATACGTTTAATAATAATTATTATTGTTATACAAGAAAGGAACTTCGTTCCAACAGTGTTCCACGACACTCTTTTTTTTTACAAAATACTGATTAAAAAATATGCAGTTGAGTTCGTGACGAGTCAGACCTTAAGTTGCAATTAACGATTTTATTGGTGCCGGCACCTGTTTGCTTGCATTGAATTGAAAACGAGTGCCCGTATAAGGCTTAAAGCATAACACATAGGAAAAAAGCTAAATAGAACTTTCAAACAGGTTGTAAAACGAAAGGCCCCATTTCTTCTTGGACCCATATGCAGCAAAATAAAGACACGCAGCTTTTTCCCTTTTCGCAGTTCTACTTCTTAGTCACAACCTCCAGAGTCGTGGATACAAATTCTCGCCAACATAAATAAATATGTTCAGACTGTACCAAGCGTCGTGTGATCTCATAATTCGCAACGTCGATCTCCGTCATGTGAAACTGGAAGGTATATAGGCGGCCGAAGTCGGGGAGTTTGTTACCCGTCTTGTAGCCGTAACGAACTGTTTGCAGCCCACGGGGGAAGGTAATCTAATCTCGGGAACGCCCCCACCTGCCACCCGCAGCGGCCTCACGGGCAGCGTTTTTCCTAGCTGCTTATGCCAATATCAGAAACGGTGGGCGCGTGCCCGGAATACTACCGGCTGATCGATACAATCCGATTTGGAAGCGAACGGACCGTTGTTTATGTTTTACGCTTGTAGCAAAACATAATAATATAGTTCGCATCGCGTTTCGTTAGTCGAATTTGAAGTGTTGTGAAATTGCAAAAAGTCGCTTTTGAACGCAAATTATTGGGCAACTTTGATTTTGATCTTGGTAAAGTTCAGTTCACGTTTAAGCTGTGATCACCGTTCTATTTTCGAGTGAACTATTTGAACCGGCCAACTATCATGAAACATACACTTTTTTATCCTTTATTACACTATATTCTTTCATAAATTGTTCTAAATTAGTAAAATTAACAAAAATAGATTCTTAGACAATTTTAAGTCACAATTAAATTAAAATATTAAATACAAACAAAATTACATGTTCTCTATATAAACCTAGCGCATGATGCATGACATCGCTGCAAAGTTAAGCTGTATCTTTTGGGGAGAAAAGATTTAGCCCTCTTGTCTATAATTAAATGTGTAGCTTGACACAGATATTATATACAAGTTTTGACCGCTACAATAGAGCGCTATCTCGAAGTTCTAACATTTTTGAAAACAAGTCTGTAGCTTTTTGAAAACAATTGAAATTTATGAGTGTCTCCAATAAAGTTGGAAGAATACAACACATTCACTTAGGCCACCACATTCAATGCACCAGAATGCCCTTTACCCTAATATTTACAATATCGCCTTCTTTATCGGTCTTCTGCAGAGCAAACTTCATTTTAATGCGCAACGATAACCGCCGCATGGTTTGGCATATACGGTAATGCCTATTACAAAGAACATAAGTCCGTAAACCGCCTCCTCAGCGGATCACGGAACTTTGGCATGCATATCAATATACAAACAAACCGCTGTATTAATGCGGGCAAAAATTTCCGTGAAACGGCGTAATAGGGTTGTAATTGCTAGGGAAAACTGCACCGACGGTTATGGTGGACCGCCTTTTGAAATTCACCGATGCGTGCAGGCGTCGCGTGTCAACAAATCGGTCCCACGCGACTCACTCACTCATCAGTGATCAGTCATCATTCACTCAACGCTGACCGAACTATCGCCGGTGAATGGGAGCGGGGGGGCGGTGTAATTCGCAAATTACGGGGCGACGCCGATTTCGGCGCTAATGAACGCCCGAGGTGCGCCTTTGATCGCGCGACGCGGGGACCGTTCTCTGTTGACTTCAGAAACGAAATAGTACGCGCAGACGGATTGATTTGAAATTCGGACGGGAGGGAAGATGGATAACGCTTGAGTCGGCGTCGGACACCCTTTTTATCATTTATTAGAGGCCCCACTACGGTGCTAGTCTAATACGGAAATATAAAAGAATGCTAACTTATTAAAACAGGCTATTTTTATCCGTTCTTGGCAGCAATAAGTAGTGATATTTACTCAGTTTGTACAATGTAAAAAATATTTTTGCAACACTCAACCTTTCAGAGGTAGACAACAGATTTTTAAGGGACTTTTGGACAGTCCCATAATGCCTTTATCCTATGCGACGACTTATTTCCAAAACCTTTTTTTTTATTTTAAAAATTAAATACATTTTCTTAATGATTATGTAGGGTTTACAATATAAGATCTGTGCACATTATATATAATGTATTTTCAGTTTGTTAATATCAACATATTATTCCATTTTTTTATGTGAAAACTTGCCAAACGAACAGACGGTTCACTTGATGGTAAGTGAATACCGCCGCCCATGAACATCTACTACACCCGAGGGTTACAGATGCGTTGACAACCTTTTGAAAAGTGGGCTCCGGCTACATCATTAACCAGACGAAACGCGAAAGTATTTGTCATACTTCCACTTTACGCTGGTTTTCTGTGAGGTCGTGGTACTTACCCGGACGGGCCTGCCCATTCGTGCAACAGCCGAGGCTGCTGCGTGGGCCTACCACCGTAAAAATATATATATTCTAGTTATCCTAAGAGGTATGACATTTCAATTATGTAAAAACGGATTAAAACTTTCAAAAGCTGATATTGTCGATCGATGTTAATGATCATGTTTAATTAAAAAGTACGGTTAATAGTAACCACTAATACCAGGGTAACATTAAACTGATAAGTCCTCTTCCTTCGTCATGGACGTTTGATTGGTAAGGCCATTTCCAGCCGTGGACACCAGAGCTCGATGAAATCCGGTTACGATGGTACTAGGGATTCAGCTCACTACGCGACCACTGCCGGGGCATGGGGCGAGTGTTATACGGATTGGTGATGGCATGAGTGGGGGGTAGCGGGGTGGGGGGTTGTAATCGCATCGGTCCGCTCGGGTGCGTGTGCGGCGGCCGTATAATCTCATAGCCGTAATAGTCTTAAGGCGAACAAAGGGACGATCGAACGCAGCAATTTGTAGCGCCAAATGTCGTCGCCGCGTCTACGCGCCGACTTATTTTTATTAACCCGCAACATACTTATACGATGCGCTTTTAAGTCGATATCCTGTTTTATTGTACGCTATCTCATAGGAGAATGAATGAATTTAATTAAATAGACGCTTAAATATTCCGCGTTATCGTATTATTACGATGCCCCTCGCCATTGATAAACGAGGGACCTCGAATTTGACGCGGAATTGAATACTAAGTCGAACCTTTGATGGAAATATCCTTCCTACAGCATGCGGAATGTACTCAACGCATTCAAGAATTACTTTCATGAGTACGAGAACATAAATAAAATAACAGCGCGCCCCACGGACAATTGTCCCCGGGTTATCTCGTAGGACCCCCGTGGACCAGCTAAACGTTGTTAATAGACGCACAACAGCTCCCTATTGTCCCGGGACAACCTCAAATATGGCACGCACACTATAAAAACGTCCCGCCAGTAAATATCGCGTCCAACGCTCGTTTTGTAACGCAACATGCTCGCTTATTTGATATCAGGACAGTATTGTAGAAGAGTGACAGAATAGCGTGAACAATTGTCGTTTTTTCAACCGTCGCTTGACTGTGGGCTTGAGGCATACTTGTTAAGTTCAGAAAATGTCACTTGAGGGATACTTACAAGCTTAGTAAATGTGACACTATATTAAACTGCATTTATTTGCGGTGACGGCGTTATTATGCTTTAGGGTTTCAGTTGGTCTGCCTTTAGTGGTAGACCAACCATTTGCCATATTTATAATCATTTGTTGACTGTGTATGATTAAGAAGTATATTGATTAGAGTGTGGTCCTTCAATCTTTGGGATTTAAAGTCGATTAAGTTTACATTATTTACGTACACATTAAATGCACGCCTCTAGATGTACACATTAAGAGTTTCCTGCAACACTTATGGCCAGTCCAAAGTAATTTCATTTCAAGTGTGAAGCATTCGGAGGTCAACATTCCGCGTTCCGTTCAACTTCTGAATTGAATTCGTTTCGCTTCACCGTTGACTTTATTCGTTAGAGAGTTGAGGAAACAGAGAAAAAAACTCGAAAACGAAAAACAATTGATAAATCATAAAGTAAACGATAGACATTCGGGTGCAGGTTTCATCGGGCCCCCGCGCGATTTGGCATTCACGCGGTGTCGGACAATTCAACGGTGGACCCTCCCGAGGGAGCGGCGCGATACCCGGAGCACGCTTGCCGATAAACTTGTAAGCACACTAATAAAGCGGGCAAACTCCGCGATTAATTGGATCCCGACTTCGTTCTGATACACAACGGCGTGTTATTTACAAAGCTAACAGCGAAGTAGGCAACATTTATGCCCTCTCCTTCTACTTGTACGATCCAATTACTGACATTTGGAGGTTTTTCCACTTCCCTGAACATAGTTTTTACTTTACACATACTACAAAATGTAGTCTCTGAGAAAATTGACAGCGAACTCGCTTCAATTATAGCAATAAACGAATGTATTTCAATTATGAATTGATTCTGATTAGGATCTACAGTCCAAGCATAGAGGTGGAACTGTACGTTTTATAACTGCGTGATCGGCCTCATTCCATCCCCTTCTAATACACTTAGTCCGATAGAGACACCGTATAAAGTCGAAACACCGAATTTCGCGACCTGTGGCATACGATGTCCGGATCGATTTGATACGCGCTTTGATTTTGAATAAACCTACAATTTGTGCTTTTATTTGTAGATTGAAATCATTCATTCGCTTATTTGCCACAGACGCACCTGCGTCAATTCTATACAAACTCCTTTTCGTGGTGATTGCCTGGTTTGCGCGAAGCTTTGTCAGTTTAAGCAATTAAAAATAAAATGCAGAAATAGGGGAAAATATAAAAAAGTAAACATACATTGCGGTTTCTTGTTCGGTAAATATAATATTACATGTGTTTTCAGTTATTATTTTGTCATAAGTAAGTTGACACTATTATACATCTCCATAACATTTATGTAATAATGCTAGGTTAAGATTATTATCTATATATCAGGTGATTAATCCTTAACGAAAGAAAGTTCGTCACTATTAGCTACCAATAAAAATACAATTAATTAATTAATGTTATTAATAATAATTAAAAATATTTAATTATACAATTTAAATGCCTTTTATGGAATTTGTAATGGAAATATTTGTGAACAAATTGTAATAAGTGACAAAATTAAAAGAAATATACGATGGATGAAAGGTAAACTTGATACATATAAATAAACAAATGAGATGCTAGGTGGCAAGGAAACTGTTATATTCCAGCAGAATCAGTGAAAGAAAAACTAGTATCAGAAGAACAAAGAGAACAACCGAAAAAGGCGAACAACAGAGATTATTTCACAGACAATAACTAGTAGCTGAAAGCGCCGTTGAAACAGGTCAGCAAAGACATAAAAATAGCATATCAATAAATTTCTATGGTATAAATATGGTAATTAAATCACCACCATACATTAAAAAATATGGAACATGTAGCGGGTATAATTATTAGTTTACTTGGTAATCTCAATGAAGTTGAACTGCCTATTTATAATACAAATTTCCTTTGAGTTATAACTTATTTTTATACTTCAACATGCTATATGCATAGTGCATACCACTTTGATGAAAGGTACAAACTTTAAATAATAGTAAAGGAATCAAAGATGAAAAAATTGGTAATCGATAAAAGATTAGATTAGCTAAAATTATCCAATTGGAAAATCTAATTACGGCCTTAGGCAACCCCCGGGGGAGCTGGGGGAGGCGAGGCGCACCCAATTGGAATTGCAAATTTCGAATTACGAAAAATCGATCCTTCCGGCCGTTCCGCCCGCCCACCGAGCAATCCGGAAGGGCGTTGCAAAATTGAAAATTAAAAGTGCGCAGTTCAGGCGGAAACGTCTCTTGGATATCGTTCCGAGTCTGAAAAGCCCTTAATTGCGGCAAAAGGCGACGTCATGCTGCGATTTTACGGAAAGAAACAGATCAAATTACTTCATTGAGGGCATTGATATTCTGTCAAATTACACACATACACACGTGATTCATAGCGTAAAAGTTATGGGACGAGTTTTACGTATTTCGTGCAATTTCTTTTTAACCTGAAATCTTCTTTTTAAATTTTTGTAGTGCTAATCTCTGCACTTAAGATGAAATATTAAAATTTGCAGATATTAAATAAATAAACAAATAATAAACTTTATTTTTGTCACCATTGCACCAAGCATTGCTTGAAATGTGTAAAAACAATGTAGATAAAAGACTTTTAGATTTTCAAGTGTGATATTCAGTCAGCTTAGTGGTTAAAGCGTCTGGGTGTGATTCCGAAAGACTGGGATTTCGATACCCGCTCTGGGGAAAACCTGTGCGTCCATTTTTCTACAAATTTAAATGAAATCTTCTTTTTGAATGCACAAAGATGCATCGACTCATTATTTATAAATTAACATAAAAAGCGAATGGACTGAATGGAAAACGTTGTAATTCACAATAATTAATGTAAAATGAATAAACTAGTGTATAGTTCTATAAAAGATTTCTGAGTGAGTGTTCAACTTTACCTTGTCACTCATTTAAAAGGCACCGATCATTCTTGTTCCGAAACAACCTTAAACGTAACCCCTTAGGTTTTTGTGAGTCAATAGACGTTTGTAGCACAATGCTGGCAAGAGGGAACAGTGAAAATCGAATCTTTCGCAACAGCAAGCTTAAACACCGCTTGCATGACTTAACCAATGATAAGTAAGCGAAATTATACCGCCGATAAAACGCGGGAGACTACAGAAGGGTCGCAGACTGCCGCGCTCACCACAATTGCAGTTGGAGACTGCCGAATTTACGACTGATTTGATATCAACCAACTGGTTCTTCTTTTACGGATTACGTACGGCGCACTGAAAGTTTCTGGAACTGGCCACTCGCAATACAAGAAGGTCAATAAAAATCAACTGCACAGTTCTAAAATTATTTAGATACGTGTCGCTTTTTAGAGGGCGATGCTGTTATTTGCCTTTTTGCTTAATAATATTGTTTAATATAGTCGCGGCGGCTTGAGTAAAAAAAAAAATCAGTGGATTCGTGGTTCGGTGAATTTAGACGGTTAGGACCTGTTCATCCCTACGCTTGTGAATGTGAAGATTTGCCGGCGTCTGCGGTCACAGGAACTAACAATCGTCCCTAATCTAGTACTGAATCCGTATAACTGATCGAAACTAACAGAAAAAACCGGAGAGTCCGAGTCGGACTCGCGGATGAAGGTTACCGTACCATCCTTACTATTATTATAAAGGCGAAAGTTTGTATGTATGGACGGATGTTTTTTACTCTTTCACGCAAATACTACTGAATGGATTTAATGAAACTTTACAATCATCATCATCATCATCATTTCAGCCTGTTTGAGTCCACTGCTGAACATAGGCCTCCCCCACAGACTGCCATGAAGTACGATCCTGAGCCACCTGCATCCAACGACTTCCCGCACATTTGCACAGGTCGTAATAAACTTTACAATAATATAGCTTATATATAAGAATAAGTCTTAGGCTATAATTTATATACATATTTTTATGTATATCTGTCTTTATGTCTGAATGTTACGCCTTCCGCCTATTCTACGCAGACGTAGTCGCGGGCAGCAGTTAGTTATCTATAAAAACAGAAAAATATCAATGGGAGCCGCACTTAAATATTTTTTATTCTGTTTTTTAGTATTTGTTGCTATAGCGGCAAAAATGAAAATTTCAGCTGTCTATCTATTACGGTTCATGAGATACAGCCTTGTGACAGACGGACAGACAGATAGATAGACAGCGGAGTCTTAGTAATAGGTTTTGACCCTTTGGGTACGGAACTCTAAAAACGATGAAATTTAAGAATAGTCGGAGCGCCAGCATGAAAATATTTACTTCTTTTTTCATATTGAAATTACGTTACCAATGTTATATCATCATTTCCCTTTTCACTAATATTATAAAGGCGAAAGTTTGTATGTATGCATGGATGTTTGTTACTCTTTCACGCAAATACTACTGAATGGATTTTAATGAAACATATTAAAATGAAACATACAATAATATAGCTTATACATCAAAATAAGACATAGGCTATAATTTATATATACATGTAGGATTAATTATTTAATAGTTGAGTAAAAGATGATTTTTGAACGAAGTATTGTGTGAATGAGAAGGATGGATGACGTAAAAGGGATTGAGGGACTTTTCGCAACGACGCCACGAACGAGTAACGTATATCTGTGTCTTAAAATGTATTAATTTAAATAAAGATGAAAATAGTAACAATAAACTCAAAATAACGATTTTATTTATCCTACGCCTACATACATATTTATGTATATCTGTCTTTCTGTCTTAATGTTACACCATCAGCCTATTTAACGTACACTAGTGTTAAATCAGTATGCCATGTTAGAAAAAGTTAGACGTAAAATGTCATCCTTCACCACGGTAGTGCACCCGTACATGCGAATGCGTATTTGAAGTTGCATATTTCTATGGCCTGCGACTACCCAATGTAATTTGAGGGCGAGTCGACATAAAGTCTGCTGCATCAATCTTCTGACCTTTAATGTTTTTAAATTTTCAAATTAAATTTTTGTAACGATGCATTTAAACGCTAACTATCTTATTACTAGCTTAATTTTGTGAAATGTATTCAATTATTCATCACATAATAATATATTTTTCGACGTAGTCTACTCAGCTGTCTTTCATTTAAATAAATTGTCAATAGATGCCGTAACGTTTTATATGAAGAAATTTTTACACGAAATTTTTTTTTATTAAAACATCCACTTTATTCCACTTGTTTATTTTTGTCAATATCGAGAAATACAAGGTATAAAATTGTGTTTGAATGTAATAATTAAATTTGACTGAGAGAATAATCGAGGAACATAACATTATCCTGTGTTGTAAGGACGTTTTACAAACATAAATTGCATGAGGACAAACACCCAGATGGGAAAACTCTATCTGTGGATCGCACAAATAGTTAATCCGTGTGGGAATCGAACCCATGTGTCGAAGCCAATACCTCGGCAACTTCTCCACGGAGTCATCGGAGGTCTCTATACAATAATTATGTTTGGGCGTTTGGGACGAAACTGCAATAGTCTACATCTGTTCCTTGACGTTCATCTCTGCTTGCAATTCAAACGGCTCCGGCGATTACAGGTCGCCTAAAGCAATTTGCCTCTGAATGGCGCACTCGGTGTGCGGGCCTAATCCCGGTAAAGACTCGGTACGGTGAAGCGGCGCAAATGACGGTCTTAGAGGCGGTCGAGGGTCATCGAAACGGGCGACAAGCGCGCTGATTGCTCCTCTGCAGCGGCCGCTCCCAAATCCCAGTCATTATCCACTCGTGCGGTCCCGTTGGCGCGACTGTGCAACTGTTGCCCCAGTGAAGTTTCACGAATGACGACAGCACGTGGACGAATGCGACACTCTCGGATGTATCAAGTTCAATCCGAAGAATCTAGATATTTTTATATACATTAGAGGCGATACTTGCAAAGTTATTTTGATTAATAACTCGTGTTAGTACTTATAGCAATTAATTTTGCAAACGTAAAACTCGTGTTCTCAAATGTTGCTCCAAACTTTTAACGAGCTCTAATATATAAAAATCAAATTAATAATTAAGAAAAAAAAATATTGGGAAAAACATATATGTATCTAATTTGCTCTATATTGCAGTTCCTCAGCAAAACTCCTGGATACGTAGGTGATGGAATCTAAGAGAAGTAATTGTAAGAGTTAATCATAAATTTATTAGACATTTACGTACATAAATAAAGCTTAACCTAATACAACGGCAGTTATCACAATGTTTTGTATGTTATAATAAATTTTATGGTCAGACGAGTAACTTTAAATTTTAACTTATCATATAAAATAATATATATACTTAAATGGAATAAAACTTTCCGTCAATATTGCTGATGAAATAAATTACGCGTAAAATTACAGGTGCTCTTTGATTTTCTTAATCTTTTAGTAAATTTAACTGAAAGATACGAATCATTTTTCATTTGAAAAAGCTATCTTGTAGTTAGTTTCTCTTCTTGCGCTTCATGACAAGAATTAGAAACACATAAAAATTACAGTTATTAATATATAATAATAATTTATATTATTAATAATAAATTACAATTATTCACAACGTAAGAAAGTTTTCATTTCGTAAAACAAGCAAGGTTTATAAGCCTGCCGAATTCTTACTATTACGAATTTACACACGCGACGCCTACGTTTTACTACAGAGTTATTATTGAGTAATTTTGTTGAACACTCTTTATTAGTAAACAGCTCCAATTCACTGGAACTTTGCCCTCCAACATCTATTGATAAAGTTAGGTGCGTATTTCTCCTTTACTTAAGACACCTTTATTTGAAGGTTTCCACTCATCGCGTAAACGTAAAAAGTGTTTCAAAGAGTTTTACTTTTCAAGTTACAGTTTAAAATTATTTTATAAAGTAACTAGTAATATGTCGTGTTAAATTTTATTTTATCGTATGCTCCATAGTGTCCTGCGCTTGGTCTTTTGCCCACGTAAAGCAAAAGCATCAGCTAATTTATATTTAAAACAATTAATAACGTTTACCATTTAAGTTAGTTTAATATACATACATATGTCAATTTATTAGTATATAATCTTTTATCAAATAATTTCGAACAAAAAAAACCGACTTCAAACAGGAAACATTTGAGGATTGCTCTCGATTTCTCTGGAATGCCATCATCATATTTGGGTCTAGCCTTCATGGTCCCACCCTTGGGATATCTCCTTTCCAAAAAAAAAAGAATCATCAAAATCGGTTCATAAATGACGAAGTTATCCCCGAACACACATAAAAAAAATAAAAATATATACGGTTGAATTGAGAAACCTCCACCTTTTTTGAAGTCGGTAAATAAAACTAAAAAAAAATAAGCTTGCTTTTTTGACAAACATTAAAAAAATTACACATTTTTCATAGCAACTAGGTAAAGGGGAGTCAGAGCAAACAACCCTTTATGTTGTGAAGACATCAGTTATACACCGAAATAGTTTCTGGACGAACCTAAGTTACAGAAGTTAGTACGTATTACAAGTGCATTTAACAAAGTCAAGCTCTTAAATACTAAGCACAAGCGGCTCTGACGGACCTGATTGAAATTTGCAATGCAAACTAACCGGTAAACGCTCTCCTGCTGTTTCATTGTCTGAAGTAATAACGGCGTAAATCGCGTGCACTACTTATTAATGATTCGGAATATATAAAGTGACATCGCTTTCTATTTTAGAATCATCATAAATATCTGGTCCGTCGTTAATAGACACAACTTTTTGCAAGATTTTTCTCAACTTCTGTCAAGAGCACGGCCGAACACGCCGTATACAAGAACCTGCGGTGCAGGGCGGTTCTCACCACTCCTAGTCAGCAAATAACTCAGTCGACAGTCGATATCTGTATATTGAGGTCTCCATACCGGACCTAGGCGACCCTCACTTTGTTAATACGGAAAGTCAACATGCGTGAACATGTTGACTATCCTGATTCTGACTCTATTAGTTTCGATGAAACTGCCCCGATGAAATTACAACGTGGGCGTCTTCAAGGCAACAGTGTTTTTAGCGAGCTAGCGCGCTTACCATCTCCGGCTGCATCGCCACTTACCATCAGGTGGGATGGAAGTCAAGCGATGGCCGATTTCGAATTAAAAAAAAACTTGTGAGAACCTGTCTTTAATCGGGTTTAGCGACAGGCGAAGTCATATAGTCTCCTGACTGAAAGCATATCTTTCTCTTCATCTTAAAGTATCAATATTTAACCGAGACTATTCTTAGAAAATTAGTTTTTTTCTAATAACACTGTAGTTATGAATGCCGTTTACCGTTGGGGGGAAGTACTTCAGACGCTTATACATTGTTCTCCCCGTTACATTCTGCCATACAAATCGAGTACCGTCGCATCGGGGGCAACCGTGCCGGGCGCGTATCGCACGATGCCGACATTCCCAACATTTAAACATGCACGTACTAATAGTTAGGGGGGCCGGGGGGGTATTACGGTGTGCTACACCTTTACATAGGCGAGAACTACTGTGTCGCGAGAGGCTTCCGGCTCCGCCCCGAAACTGGTGCATCGCCCAATGGCGGCCGTGGGCTCCGCGGGGTCCGTGTTGACGCCAAGTAGACGCCCCCCGTCGACGGCGAAATTCAGTTTGCACGTAACCACCGCGGAGTGCGGCCGCGTAGCCGTGCGAGACCCTGAGCCCGGCTAGTCCCTCACCCGTATGACGCACCCGCACCCCCGTGGAATGCTTTGACACTCGGGTGCCGGCACCGCGGTACGTCCATGTTGCTTCTGTTGTATCTTGTGCGATTCGGGCGTCGTCAAAGTGTTGGGCGTAAAACTGGAGATGAAGGTGAGTCGTCCGTTCTGAACGCGGGCATCGTCGGTTGCCATACCTATGCTCTTGTGCGATGCTGGTCGTGAGGTGAACTATGGATTGCCCGACGTAGGTGCTGGCGCGCAAAACTGCGCCTCTACTGTTTATGAATACGATTCGTATTCCCGTCTTATTTGAAAGATAAAATTACTTTGTTTTGATTTGATTCAAACGATTAATATAATGTAATTACAATTATTTCTAAAGCTTTTCACAACGAGACATTTGAATTTAATACAAAATCTATAGAAATTGCTTGCTGTCTACGTTGAGTTACTCTAGCCTTTCATTCGAATACACAAGGTAAATCGGTGTTTTGCATAAACTGCTATCTGTATTTCATGAATGTCTTGTTAACTTGGAGCTGATGAAGGCTTGAACAAAACTGAATAAGTTATAGCACTATCACTGTCTGTTAAATTACAAATAGTCAAATTACTAATAGTCAAATTTCGGTTACTTTATAAGATAAATGAAATAAGAGTACTTAATACAGCGCATCAAACACATATATGCTGATAGTTGAAGAACAAAAAATCTTCTTAAAAGCTCTAAGTGCACAAACGAAGTGGATAAAAACTGATTCATACACACCTCACTCGCCTTGCGTATGTATTTATAACTTTAGATACAAATTCAACACAATGACATTATTCATTTATTCATTACACATTGTAAATATATTGTAAACATTGAAAGTAAAATTCTAGAAACGAAATAAAAAAAAATGTTATCTAATACAAAAGCAATAGAACGCACATTAAAAGTGACATGTTCCTTTTTGCTTCGAAAACTTTTAATACCAACCATTTCTGATGCAGAGAGTAATTAACATTCGAAATTCAGTCATAAAAGTTAAATGTACAGTAAATTAGTATTCAAATAAAGCTCATTTATAAACTCTTTGTAATTTGATTTTACAAGTATGTAGTCATTACTGTACGAGGCAGGCGGCTTCCCGACCACCCGTAGGCGCATTTCAAACGGTCGCTTATAATGTTTACACCCGCTTCAACATTACAACTTTGGCGTTTCCATCTGACTATTAGCATTAATTGTTCATATCGAACTAATTACGTCTGGAAGTAAATGGAGAAGAGATAATTTATTCGTGAATTGCGCTCGCTGAGTTGTGGGTTCCAGTTAAGTTATCAGAAGCGTCAATGCGAAGAAGTGTCGTACATTAAATAATTTCTATGTCGTAAAATATACCAATCGTATGGTAAAACTAATTCTGTTTATCCATTTTTTCCAAGTTTAAAGGCGATTTTTAGTTGAAAAATTACTTTCAGGTAAGATTTCAAGAGCGTATTTTGTGGCTTAACTGGCCGAAATTGCTCTTAAAAATAAATAATGAATAATTTCAACAATTTCATGTTTGATTCATTAGTAATTACCATCTAACATTAAAGTATACAATAGAATGAGTATGAGATTTAGATCTCTAACTCATTCTATTTTGATTAGTTTTACTAATCAAGTATTTAGGCTAGACCGTATCCACAATGTGGGCGCCCGTCCTTATAAGATGGATTTGAAGTTTTTTTTATGTGAAATTTTTCCGTTTTTCTTTTTCAATTAGAGATAATTATAAGTTAGCTACAGTTACATTATCACTTTCCGTTAAAAGTCGGCGGATACAAACGATAAAAAGTTTATTTATTAGTATGAATACATCTCTTTTATACAACGAACCATCTTTACCACTGAACAAAAAAAAGTAAATGATTTAAAAGTAAAGTTCATGCTGCGGAACAACGTCACAATTATCTAACGGAGAATACATTTACTTATACTATTTTGTGCAATATTTTATAACAAAACTTGACAGCTCGTTATGGAAAAAAGATGTTAAAACAACTTTGTGCTAGTTCGTACAATGCATCAGTGTCTAATTATTTTACGTACTGAATGTAGATAATAAGATTAAAATTGAGAAAGCAGTGAATAAACATAATTAATGTTATTTGTATTCAACATATAAAAACTAACCGTATACGGTCTAATTTTTCAATTTATATTCGTCACAAAGCATATAAACTTCAATTTTTTTTAATTAAATTTTCTACCCATGAACTTACTTATCTTTATATATATCTAACAACACGAGATTGTAAATGTCAAAAAATTAATGAAATTTATGTTTCTTACTTTGGAATTTGATATGAACATTGTATGGTTTATAATTAAAAAAAGTAATAACTTTGAAGCACACGCACATAAGTAGTTCCATAATGCTTCTAAAAATATTATTTTTGAAACTAACCTATAACTATTTTTTATAATATCTATTTTTTATTTTATTATTGTAATGGGCAGATGTGTTTTGATTACAAATAAAGATTATTATTATTAAATAAATAAGTAACTAAAGCGTCAAGAACACTGTGACAAGAAGAAGGAACGAAACTAAGTGACAATTTCGCAACAAAAAACGCGTTCATGTAAATACGTGTAAGCTTTTAAATTCTCTTAGCAATCATTCTTAGTATATACGAGATTGATTGCTGTCCACTGTAAAATCAAACTACATTTATTTTAAACAGTGTTCTAAATGAAGAAAGCCTCAAGTTCAAAAGATCAAATTAATTTGGATATACTGATATTTAAATCGGGTATACGAGATAATATTGGGAAGACAAATTTAATAAGTAAGCAATGAAAAGACGAAAGTACTTTCTTGATTATATTAAAATTGCTAAATAGCAATATAGTAAACATCGTTTTAGCGAATTTAACAAATTGCCTGAAAGCTCTTCTGGTCGCTATTAGCTATTATATACATCTTCAATTTGCTCAATCTTTTATTATAGAAATATCAATCTTTTAGAATTATGATCCATTAAAGCTATTCTTAGAAAGATCGCTCAAATTTACTAGAAGTTAAATTACTATCAGGGAATATTATTACACTTTTTATTAATATTATGTACGCCTATAACAATAACTAATAAAAGTTACTGTAACTAAAAACTGGAGGATAATTATTCAGACTCCATTATATAAAATATGGTTTTACAAGTACGGTACAGTTAATTAATTTGGTTTTGGACAATTAGATAAAATTAACTTTAATGTATGAATGATGATGGTACTCATTTCATAAGTTCTTTACTAGAGTTGGTTTCGTGCCTGAATACTATTTGACGGTAAGCGATACTAAGATAAAGAGAAATAAATAAATTATTCCACTCTTTTGCTGTACACGTTTGGAATGATAAAGTTTATCTTGTTTTGTGAAGCTTGGTTGGTCGTAGACCCAAGAAATGACCTGTTTCTACTAGTTTTAGAGGCCCACTGCTACGTGATGCAGAGTATCTTGGTTAGATTGCGTTTAGTGTATTAAATTTATGCATTGAGTCTCAGCGTAAAGGAGTCCAATGAAATTAATTAAATGAGGCAATTGCTTCGCATGCTTGAAGTCTGCGAGCTGTCTATAAAAACGGCAAAAATTGTGTCTTTAGAATGGGGAGGCCCTACTTAATTTCTTATTAGGATTTTTTGGTTATAGCCGCAGCAAAAATACATCATCTGTGAAAATTTCAAGTGGATATAGACGGACATTTAGGCAGCGGACCTTATTAAGCCTTTCGGTATGGAACCCTAAAATGAAGAGTTTTGATACTTCCAATAACGTTCATTGTGTGACCTCAGAACTATATCATAAGCAAAATCCTGAACCATCTTCTATGTGTGGTGTGGTGGTGGGTCGAAATGCGCCCCAACGATTTTTCCGCCAGTGCATCGCGGGCCTTTCCCGACCCACCAGCATTGGGTAGATTAAAATTCTATAACTTTGCGAAAACATGATGTATACAATTTTTTTGTACGGTTAGAACAACCTCAGACCCAACTTACTCAGGTTCAACCCTGGATCTGCTAATCAGGACGGAGCCAGGAACACTGAACTGCACTAGAAAGTTTTTAGTAATGATGGGACGGCCAAAAATAAGAGGATATCCATAGTTATATTATAAAACTGAAGGGTTTGTTTGTTTGAATACGCTAATCTCAGGGACTACTCGTCCGATTTGAAAAATTATTGCTCTGTTAGATAACCCATTTATTCTTCTTCTTTTCGAGTAAACGTAGATTTTTAGATTTCGTTCGATCAGTATTTGGCCACATCCACCGCAGCAGGATTGGCTTCAAGCAGGTCTTCGAAGGTGCAGGGGGAGGGACACAACGGGCATTGCAGCAGATGGGCCATGGTTATCTCGCCACAGTGACATTTATTGTCATTGGGGAAACCCCAGTTGGTTAGGTTATCTTGGCATCCTCCTGATCAGATCGAAGTCTGTTTAGAGACTTCCAAACTGCCCAGGGAAGATCACCACCCGGCGGGAGCCTTTCAACAGGAGGTAGACTTGCAGGGTGTTTAGGAGGGTACTTTTTATTCCGCCGTTCCAGCCTAGCCTTTGGAGCGAACCTCTCATTTATTCTAGGCTGTCTGAGAAAGCTTGTACGGCTCTTTAAACGTGGTGGTGGTGGAGTCTGGCTATGAAGTGTGTGTCAGCTATCATGTTTTTGTTTTTGTCTCTCCACACTGCAAGCTACTTCTAGTCGAACACTTGGAGAAGTTAAACCAGCCAGGGTATATAGTTGGTGCAAAGGAGTCGGTTTCAGAGTCCCGGTAATCACCCGACAAGCGTCATTTAGGGCAACATCGACCTCTTTGGCATGGGCAGAGCGTGACCAAACTGTCCGTAGTACATGTGAGTAGGATGACCCCATTTGGTAGAGGTGAGACGGCGTAGAACGTTTTTTCTTGAGCTTACTTTGGATCTCAGTTTGCGACAGTTCGATCGATCGATCCAAGGTAACACCAAGGTATTTTTGCGACGGATTGTGTTTAATATCTACCCAGTCCCACTTAATATTTAATAGCCCATTTATTGAAAGCCTATAGGGTCCTTTTAAACAAGACATGACAATGTCAGGAAGTGGCAATTTGTGACTTTCGAATAAATCTATACCACTATTCTTACCCTACCACTATCTTCCCAAACAATTACCTCACTAAAATCGGATTGATAAATTTATTTTATCATATAGTAACAAATCAATGAATTTAATTTGTCTTATGTAAAGTAACAGCCAATACAAGTCCCACTGCTGGGCAAAGGCCTCCTCTATACAGAGGGTATCAGGGCATAGTCCACCACGCGGCCCCACTGCGGATTGGCGGACTTAACATATTTTCGAAATACAAATTTTTTTGTTATTATTTCGAAAATATGCAGGTTTTCTCACGATGTTTTCCTTCATCGCGGTGCACGTGATAAGTCAGCACTTAAAGTTAAAAACTTCATTGGTGCCGGCACCGGGGATCGAACTCAGGTTGCTCGAGTATATTGAATTAAAGGCGAACGCCCGGACACTGAGCTATCACGGCTCTTCATTCACGGCTTGTCTTATGTACACAATATTTATGCCAACGCAACTTTAAGGCTATTAACGTGGAATGCTTTTGCCCGGTGAATAGACAATGGGACACCATATGTCCTAGGATTTTCCTAAGCGCAGAGAGATGATACGGTGAAGATCGCAATTGTGACTGCCAAAGCTTTAGATAACCGGTATAGGTACGAAATCAGTAAGTGTGAACCATCAATATTTGAAAACAAAATATAGTATTATGAATATAATAAATGTAGTAAATTCAATATTAAGCTACTTGCCAATTACAGTAATTCTTATTTGCGTGGAATAAAATTGTTTCGTTGAGCTCCTTTCAAATATGTACCCTGACTAAACTCTAACCGTCTGGCTCTAAACTAGATAAAATATGTAAAGTATGTCAATGCCTGCGCTTCCTATGGTTAACAGATGTGTTAACTTCGCGATCGTTATCGTTTTTCCTTTAATGTATTGCGTTGTTCATCTAAAGATTCCATCTTTATCATGCCCTATTGTTTGTATGTTTTTTTTTACACTTTTGTGAACTCTTCTAACAATAATTATGGCACGTTCACTGTTTGTTTGGCAATTACATGAAGTGTGTCCTTTTTTATCAACGAGATGATATTCAAGCCAGGTGGACGTCAATTTTTATGTCCTTTTTTCATTAGTAAAGTGATACTTCGAATAGTAAAGTTACCATCTTCGAATAGAAATCATAAGTTACTTTACTCATCATAAATACATATACAAATAGAAATTAATTTCTACCAGCCTTCGGTGAAATTAATTTTAAACTTTTTAGTTTTGGCTTTGGCGCTTTCTATTTACTCCCATAGGGATAGTCACGTAATTTATTTTGATCGGCTGATTGTTTTCCAATGTCATAGAGACATTAAATACCTTTTATTGGTTAAACACTCACGGATACGAACGGTAATAGTCTAGTGAAACGGTCTCCTCGATTGCGAGGGCTTTATGCCCCTCTGGAGTTCCTCGTGTGATCTGGATACTGGGGGCAGTTTCAAATCCGATTAGTAGGTAGTCGGGTGCGCGCGATAAATCGTGACCCGCGTCGGCTGTCGTCGGCGGCGATTCGTTACGTGCCGGTTTACCGAAAAACTTATTCGATACATCGATAAATATGGCGGCGGTCGCTTTGGATGCTAATATGTTATTTAAAGCGGGCAAGCCGGCGCGGAGCCCCGCAGCGCTGCCACCTTCTCAATGCCGATATTAATGATCGGTATGCATCACTGGCCTTCAAGACCCGATGCGAATGTCTTCTTCTCTCCCGCCCCCTTCTCACTGACCGCTTGACGGGTTAAACGGCGCGCCAATTCTTCCGCGCCGCTGTGCCTACCCCGTTCTTGAGATATCCCCGTTCAGCCCCGGCTGCAGTTCAGCCAAATGACGGGCGACCGTAAAGATTATCGTGGAGCGGTGATCCACTCAATTTGATTCTTAACGTTCCGATTTTACGCAATTTTTAAACGAAATGAACCAAAAAAAAGACGAAATAAAACTCATCGACGCCCTACATTAAAACGAGAAGCTCAAAGTGGAACTGATTTAGAATTCTGATTTTGAAATTAACGAAACGATAAAATCTAGTGTCATGACTCGATTCCAACACCAATTAGAGTCGGCACAAATAAAACTCTGAAAGTAGATAATTACAAGTCATAATATGTAAATATGTGTGAGTTTTCGGTAACTCGGATAAGTGGCCACACCCTTTTTGTTTTATTGCTTGTTTTATATTGATGTAATGTTTGGGAGAGATATTTCAGTTATTGCTTTTCATTTTTAGTTTCTTTGAAATATTGTTGGTGTGTCCAGGTTTACATAGATATTTACATATTCGGTATCAATTCAAAAAACGAGAAATGTATGGCGTCAGTTAGATGACACGACACTTTCCTGCTGAGAAAGGATTCGTGTGTTTATTGTATAAACAAGAGCAATACCACGGCCTGAGTTGGATCGTAACGTAGGCGCGTCAGCTTTTGTATGACGACGTGAACCTTTTTAATTATTTAAATGTGTACCACAAGGATATGTCTAAGACGTGCTCCGTTACCTTTAACATTTTATTATTAACATATAGTAAAATTTTTCCTTTTTAAAACGATTATAAAATTTTTTGAATAGGTATTTATTTTCTCATTGATTATTAAACTTCATGTCATGCGAAAATCTTAAAAAATTTTACAACGTAGAATCTATCGCTTGTGATCTCACAAAGTCTATTTTCGTTTTCCTTATATCCCTATTTCATTGTTCGGTATTGAATGTGCCACAGTTAAAAAATACTAACTCTTGGACACGTTGCGACGTGAATACAATCCACATAAATCAATTGTGCTCCCGAAAATTTATAAAAAAGGTTGTGGCTACACAGCGATGAGACGTTACATTTTTAATGAGGTCCTGTGAGTTCGAATCACTTCGCTCGATGTATTGCATTTAAACCAGTTGTACCTTGAATGAGAAAAATAATCGTTCACTAATACATGAAACATCAACATTTATAAAATGGGCGTAAATCCATTTAAAATGTTACAAGAAAAGTTGTGTTAGAAAAAGGATATTGGGTGTTCGTTTCGATCTGTTGGTGTGAATGGTGTATATTATTATACGTTATAAAATCACTTTAATTAAAATGTGATGACAAAAATATGTAGGGATATTAACCTAAGTTTAAATTTTAAATGCATATGACGTGTTTCAGTTAAGTAATGGCGGTAATTTTTTGTGATCAATTGAATCTAATTCGCGCTTCCAGGTCACATTAGATTTACAATTCATGTTAATTTAAATTAAGGAAAACAGAATCTTATGGCGTATTATACGTTAATCAGAGAGCAAAATTAATATTTTTTTTTCAATACGTACCATTATACGCGCATTGGTTTCTGTACGTCATTGAAGTACCAATAATTTTACGTACGAGCGCAATTGATTGTGCAGATATTTTTATGGACAGTATAAATCGTTTCGTATTGATAATGTTACGATGACAGAGATAGATGGATGGACATCTAGCCTTGTAAACATTTGACACCTCCGTGCTCCGCGGCCGGCGGAGCATTATTCAAAGCTGACGTACACCGCGCAACAATTCGAGATGCAGCAACACGGAACGCTCAGGCCAAAGTGTTGCCTGTCACCACCGCATAAAGATCACAATGGCGTCGACCTCCGCGCACGCTGGTGATATCCATGCGGGGGACGGTACAAATATAATACAATTAGGTGCGTGCCGGCATGATTAATAAAACCACGGTCTCCGCGTGCACTATGCCCGACCGATCCATGGAGTGCAGGAATCCCACCCCATTAATATATCATCAAACAGATGTGAGGCCAATATTAATAGCGCATCTTATGAGGAACGATCGAGAGCACAAAGGGTCCGTTCTTCACAAAAAACGCACCTTGATGGCTGCCTGTGAAAACATTACATATTTCACAATATAACGCCCTAACCACGGAAAGGAGACGACTTTAAGCCGCGTTAAGCGTAACAGTTCGTTACTAGCTGATCTGCGGTATTTGAGCGCTTTGTTATCCAATATGATTGGCTTCTTAAATATTAAGTACCTGGAGGACCGAGCTTTGCTCGGTTATAAAAAAAATAAAAAATAAAGAAAATGATGTGGTATAGAAAAAAAAGGGAAAAAAATAAGTGTGTAAATGATCGTGATACGAACCACGGCCGTCTGTTTTGGGGCCGCGCGATTACCGAACGAGCTATTATAACATTTTATTTTGCGGTCTTTACTGTCTAATTCGAATGATATTTTTCTATATTATTATATGTATTAATATATATATATATATATATATATATATATATATATATATATATATATATATATATATATTGTTCGTTATATATAGTTGTTGAGAATTGCTCGTTTAAAGGATAAAAGATATCGCCAAAACATAAAAGTACTGCGTAAAAGATCAATGTAGAGTCGGTCATTGCAGTGTCATTTATTTATGCATTTTTCTACTCGTCTGCAAGGCCGATAACATACCTGCAACCTACTGCTTTGGAAATGTACTTTAAGTGTCGATTACCCGTTTGCTCTTTTCTTTATTAGTAATGTAGTATTTGCCGTCTAGCACTTTACTTTTCCCTTTTCTTACCCTACTATTGTAAAAACAGAACTATTAAGCGCATTTAATCGAATATATAACTTTTTATAGGTATTTACACATTATCCGATACTTTATGACCTTAAATTTTCAAAAAATGGAGATCGATGCCTTCCAAAGATTATTCGCGGACCATTAAAACTATGAAGAAAATACCTAATTTCGACAGAAAACAGGGTTGTGTTTGACCACCAGTTGGGGTCCTTTTTTAATGCACTTTTAATTTAGAAAAAACGATTGCCATAACAGAAACGTGATAATATGCGAAGGGTGAAGTGAAACTAATTGGGCGTCGAACCCACAAAACGGCGCTTAAAAGCATTAAACAGGTAAACACTCAAACCACTGCGGCATCCTAAGCCAAATAAATCATTAAAAGTTGATGGTAGCCACTGGTAGCTTTCCTATTAGGAATTAAAACGGATAAAACGTCTGTCTCAAAACATTTGTGCTTCACATAGCGTCGAGAGTGAAAAACCTACGTTCAACCCAATAAAGTGTGAAAAAAAGGCTTCATATGATAATATGTCTTAAGTATTATCTATATTAATCATATTTATATTTATACTAGCAAACGTGACAGACTTTGTCCTCTACACACGTCTTAAATCCGAAAACTTTTTGAATAAGTGTGTGAATCTAAACCATTCTCGAATCCATTTCACGGTCGTAGGGCTACGCAGCAGCCTCGGCTGTTGCACGAACGGACGGGCTCGTCCGGGTAAGTCGTCCTCACAGAAGACCGGCGTAAAGTGGAAGTATAATACTCTCGCGTTTCATCTGTTGAGTGAGGTGGCCGGAGCCCAAAAGGTTGTCAACGCACCTGGAACCCTTAGTTGTAGCAGATGTCCATGGGCGGCGGTATACACTTAACATCAAGTCAAGCGTCTGCTCCCTTGGCAACTGTTCACATAAAAACAAGTTTAGGAGGAGTTCAGTAACATACACAGTTACAAAAGAATTATATATATGAAAATTAACATTAATGATAATAAGCAATATTCTATTTTTGTAGAGTATTCTAATTTTCCTACCTTTTTTCTTTCTTAGCCGATATCCTTTAAACGAGCAATTCTAAGCGGAATCTCGGAAACGGCTACAGCGCTAAATTTAGTATGTGCGTAAATTCGGGGATGAAAAATCTATCTAGCTAGATGTCCTTTTATCCCTGTTTTCAGGGAATGAAAAATATCATTCGAATATGACGGTAAATTTCGCCGCAAAAAAAATGTTATAATAGCTCGGTCGATAATCGGGCGGCCCCAAAACAAACGGCCGTGGTTCGTGTCACGATCATTTACAAACTCTTTTTTTCACATTTTTTTTCGATTCCAGATTTCTTTCTTTATTTTTTTTTGATCCAGATGATTTTATTATTTTTTTTGAAAGTTGTTTCTTTTGTGAAAAACACCACATCATATTTTCTTATTATTAGGTCGGTAAGATTGAAAAATATTATGCATATTTTATTACTCAGTAATTTGTATCTAAATGTAATTTCCAAAATACACGATTTACCAAAAAAAAAAAAAAAAAAAACAAACCGAGCAAAGCTCGGTCCTTCAGGTAAGTAGTTTACTTATACGACATCGCGCTTAGCCTATATGTGTTTGACTTGATAACTAAGAGAAATACAACGGGAAATATTCTGTAAACGGTGGGCCGTAAATTCCAGCCAGCAGACACCAGCGACAATACCTGTGTTTTATTGTACGAGATGATTTAGCACCTATGGCTCCAATGAGTTCTGCAAGAGGTGTAAGCCATAAGCAGTAGCGATATAAGGTTGAGTTATTTATATTTCGAGATTTATTATTACAATTACCTCGACGTAGCTTTGCTTTAAGATACTTTTGTAGATGAATTTTATAAATTTGTAACTATATTATGTTAAAAAAAACAAAAGCTTGCATTGGGTAAAATTAAAAAAAAAAGAAAAAAGTATTCGGCCGTAGATTCGTATATGATTGAGACCCCTCTGAATGGAAAATTTAAATATTATTATAAAAAAATATTATTTTACCTTTTAACAGAAAACCAAAGTCATTAAAATTAGGAAACATAAAAAGACGAAGATAAAACACTGAAAATATCTTGTTTTCTCTTAATCTACATACGAAAATTAAAATATAACTAGTAATCTTGTAGCACGCCATAGAGCCCTCCAGGGCCATAAACTGCAGAATTTAACCACAGCAGATATTTCACGGTTGCGATATGATTGTGTTAAAGGGAATCACTAAAATGATTTTAATTTAGACGAAAACTAAAACGTGGTTATCGTGTGACAAATTTAACGTATTTGGACTTTATTTTGGGTTTAGAAATTTTCCTTTCCCCAGAAAATCGAGTACACTTTCTAAATCGTATAAACAACTTGTTTTACCATTTTGGTTTGATATTAATCAAAACCATAATATTTAATTTCTCCCTGCACGTGTATATTTTTCTCTATTATTCAATAATAGCATTTCGAGGTTTTGCATCATAACTTCTAAGAAAACGCGACAACGTATAAATTTAGAAAGATAAAAACAAAATACATTGAATTGTGAACAATTTCCAAAACGTTCAATAATTTATTTTTGGCACTTTTACTGCTTTTTTAAATTAAAAAATTTACTTAATGATTAAATTATGATAGACGGTGTATTGTAAACATAGCCATTGACCATAAAAATGCTATTTGCTTGTATTTTCAAAGCAAACGAGCCAGATCTATCGATGTATCGCCATCACTTGAGTATTTTTTCCTTGGAACATCGCTGTTTCATTGATCGTGATAAAATCATACCAAAATCATCTCCTCCTTGCTCTGAGATGGCCGTTGATGCTGGGTACAATGGGCTCCATTGATCATCCTTCTTACGCGGGGTCGAACCACTTCGCGGTCGGCGAACACCTTTACCAGCCACCAATCCCCGTAATCCCTGCATAAGAGCTCATTTCGTGGGGATTAAACGTGTCCTGTCCGATGTAATTTATCAATTTGTGCCCCCCCCGATGTATGGCGATATTTTAAAGGGGCTTATAGAAACGTAACGCAATGGGTTCGGTGTAAATTATCAATACGTCTGGGCTCCCGATTTAGGTATCAGAGCTGCGTGACCGTTATCTCGAAGTGTACGGGCCTGAAGATCAGATTTAATTAAAGAAGCTTTTATGCCAAAAACATGTTGCCTTTTTTCCACCGCAACAAAAACGCATTCAGAGCAGTAATCAGTTTTCGTAAGATCAATAAGTGGTTCGGTTTAGAAAAACTGTATACTTAATACCTGATACCGAGGTGTCATGTGGGTTAAATGCGGTTGGAAAGAAAATAAGGTACCCGTAAAGTATACCAAATAATTATTTGGCATTTTCACATTGGGCACGCGAGGTTAGTTCGTTTAAATTTCTTTCGTATAAACCTGACTCACTATAATAATAATAATAATAATAAAATATCTTTATTCACATAGACGCTTGCGCGTTCTTATGAAACGTCAAAATTTTACAAGAAATTAACACGTTTGTAAGTTACCACCGGTTCGGAAAGCAGTTTCTGTTGAGAAGAAACCGGCAAGAAACTCAACAGTTGCTCTTTTTAAAAAAAAAATCAGTTTACAATATAATAGTACATGTACAATAGTCTTGTTTTAGCCTACGTGAGTATCAACAGTATTAACCCCACACATTGGCGTCGTCAAGATATTCGGCAATAGAATAATAGGCTTTAGCCATAAGTTTACTTTTAATTTTTCGTTTAAATTCATCAAGTGGCAGACTTAATATCGACTGTGGGATTTTATTACACATGCGCACACCTTGCCCCATGAACGACCTGTTTACTTTTTGTAAACGAAACAATGGCGTAGTTAGTTTGTCCTTATTTCTAGTATTTACTACTGGCGTTTATTTCCATCAATTAATATCTTCGAATAGTTCTTCTTTAGCCCGGTATGACTATATGCGAAACACGCGTACTCGGCGTTACAATGGACGCGCGAATCGTAACTTTAAAGGTCTCTTTGCTCACCCGTCCTCACCTTTAAAATTAATTGATAAACGCGGCGTCCACTCCGAAATTTATAACCCAGAGATATAAATAACGTCGGAGGCGATTAGCGGATCTACTTTATTATGTTCATGAATATCGGCGACTCTTTAATTTAATGTGGATCAAGTTGCGCTGTCGGGCTTCCCGATCCGCTTTAATCACGTGAATTTTTTAGACAAATTACTAATAATTGTTGGAGTAAACTCGAGATTCAAAGCGATGGCTGCGCTTTTAGTGAAATTTGTGTCGAAAACTAAGTCGCACTATGGTGCGCTTACACAAATAGGCGCTTGCCCACCTTGTTCAGAGGAGGGTCAGTAACGTTCTTTGGCGTTTTGTGTGGCATGCGAGGTAACTGCCGTCCACTTTTTAACCGACTTCAAAAGGAGGGCGTTCTCAATTCGACTGTTTTTTTATGTTTATTACCTCAGAACTTTTGAACGAGTGAACCGATTTTTATGATTCTTTTTTTATTTAAAAGCTGGTGCTTCCCATATAAATCTCATTGGTATTGGATCTTGGGATCCAGAGATACCGGAAACTTTTGAAAATCAGCTATAAAATGAATACGGAGCGAGATGTTTGAGGTCGATTTTGTTTTTCGTTAGTAAAAAAATGGTTATGTAAGCGTTAGAAACGCATTTGCAGCCCTTCGGGTGTAGTAGATTTCCAGCCTCATATTTACTTCAGTTTTCTATGCGAAAAGTTGGGAGCAGGTGGTTTGCCATCGGTGTAAGTACATAAACGCATATGCTATTCGATATTATGTGGACGATGGTCTTCCCTGAGCCTATCAAGGATTTTTGGTGAGATCTTTTTTGTTTATATTAGGTTTTGAGTTCAAGTAATTATATGGATAACTGTTATACAGACGCTAATTAGCATGACATAAGTATCGTTATCGAAGACTTCGTTACTCAAAAGTTAGTTCGAAAAGGACAACAAATTAGTGGTGTTCATTTTATTATGAAAATTTTAATAGCCTACAGTCATCTGTATAAAATAGAACAGTTGCTAATTAATAGCAGTAAAGGACTAATACATAAAGTTAATTTGAAATATTCGTGCGGTTTTTAAGCTAAATTTATACTGTTGTTGCATTTTGTGTATGTATAATACACACAAATTGAGAGTAAATATTTTTCTATGCCGTATTAATATGGGCAGATATTAATTTAGGCTTCACTAATTTGTCCTATATAAATCAATATCATAGAATAGAGTAAAAGCCTCCGGCATTTCGTTTTAACAACTTTTCTTTTCTGTTGTCTTGTAGTTTTGGAACAACTTTTTTTTGTCTTTCAATTTTGCATTTAACGTGTTGATTAATTCGTAGCTATATGAAATAATTACGACTGATTTAATCACTCAATGGATACGCCATTTTAAATTTGTACATTTATACATTTAATAATATACTATTCCAATACCGTAGTCTCATATGTATGTTAGTTCTTATGAATAATAAAATCACATTCATTGTTCAAAAATAAAAATTTTTTGCCCTTAATATTTTTGCAATGCTAAAATTTTAATCAAAAATATAGGTTCAACAAAAACTATGCATCGTAATATGCATGAATGCCATAAACGATTTTGGTTTCATATAATTTTATAGAACGTAATGTATGTATATGCGTTTGATATTAATTCGAGTTCGATTTATGCATATTAAGCAGCTTTTACGAATGTTAATTCTGACTTAAACATATATGTCAATATGTTAGTCGTAAATTAAGTGTCGTCTTGGTCCGTACTTTGGACATGTTTTTATAATAACCAGTTACCTAGCATTTGCCTCAATTTTTATTACAGTTTTTACACGAATGCTGTGAGCATTCGTCTTGTGGTTTTATAGCCGTCGTAGAAGGATGTTTTATTTGAAAAAGAAAGTTATTTCACAGTAATAATTACTTTTGGTAAGATTAATAATCGTAACCGAATTGTTTTGGAAGAAATTCATCAAGCTTATAAGCCTAGATACGTGTTACGCAATATTATTAAATAGCTACGATTTATTGATCCAACTTTACTGTTCGTTTCTCGATTATGTGTGGCAATGACCTTTTCTGTTCTTTAAGCACGAACGCATTAAAATGTTCGCGTCCACTAAAACAATAATCCGACTTTGAAAAACAATGTAGGTCGTTCTTACCGACAGAAGTCCGAGCGCGTGTGAAACGCAAACTAAATATTACGGCCTTTTGACATCTATATTACAAGCTACTGACCGATACCGTTGAAAAAAGTAATAATTGCCTGCCTATTTCGAGTTGATTACAACCTTTTACTTCAAGTAATAGGATTTAAATTTGCGTTAAAGAGCAAACGACGTAACCGGAGGTTTTTATTTGGAATGCGCTGGATTCACTTGTGTCAATTGTTCCGTCTCTTCGTAGTGTCTGTTTTGTGTTTAAACAAAACCAAACAAATAACTGCGTTATTCTGAAAATTCGCTCAGTCCACCTATCTGAGTACAACTCAGGTTAACAGTAAACCGAGGCTTTTGTAAACTCTGCATTTTTTTTTCAATCTTACGACCAAGTAGAACTGACATTATCCTAATCCCAATAAAATTTGTACCGTGGAACATTTAACTAGTTTATTACTTTTCAAGAAATTAAAATTATGCTAAGGTTCTTGAAAAAATCGGGTTGCTACTTATGTACATGAATAAATAAAAGTTTAGCTTAAAAATGTATGTTATTTTTACCCTACTGTCGAAGGAGAGTACTGTTTTTTGTACTGTAAGTACGTCTTATTTATTGGTACGCACTGCAGCTTTTGACTGATCATAAATGAGGTGTCATTAGATTAGATTCCGTTGCCGGAGTCAGATTATTGATTACAGATTATCATCACAATGTTTCCAAAACAAAAATGAATAGCTAATTTTTTTTTAATGGAGTCGTATTTTTACACGTTTTTATTATCACCTGTATGTATATATGAATGTAAAGGAAGCTTTAAACGTTATTTAGCCCCACTTTGAACGATCAGATTAGAATCAAACTTTGCAGACTCGTCAAGTACCCATGACAATGCTATCATTTAAATAGTTTTTCCCAGTATCCTGATCAGGACCTTTAGCTATTTTTCTTATAATTCGATACTTGGTAGTGTCCTTTTGCCAAGTTTGCATATAAAAAAATATTATATTAAAAGGAAACATGCTTTTATACTTGGCAAAACTAAAAAAATGGTAAAGAAATAATAGTTTAAAAAACCGGCCAAGTGAGAGTTGGACGCGCGCACGAAGGGTTCCGTACGGTTAACTATAAATACGGCAAAAAAATCAAATCTGTTTTATAGGAGCCCCACTTAAATATTTCTGTTTTTTAGTTAGTATTTGTTGTTATAGCCGCAACAGTAATACACCATCTGTGAAAAATTCAACTGTCTATCTATCACGGCCATGAACCGTCTGTATCTCATGAGATACAGCCTGGTGACAAGCAGACAGAAAGACAGACAGACAGATAGCGAAATCTTAGTAATAATCTTAAAAAAACTAAAGTGCCCGCTTTTGTAGGTAACTGAACTAAAAGTTAGAAAATAATTTTTAATAAATTTAAATTATGAATACTGTGATTCACAAAAAAGAATATTGCAGAAATGCGTGGTTAGAATATTCGATTTTGAAATTAATCCCACAGTCGTTCCTGCAAACTGTTTAATTGCCGTAAAACAGTTTCCCAAAAAATCTGAGGCCAGTGTTTCCTTTCCTCTTTCCTCGGTTGGTTTTTTCCTTCTTTTTTTTCGGATTGTCCTAATTGATGAATCATCATCTACAGACTTTCCTAATCACTCTCTAGGAAGAAGACGTGACTACATCGCACACTAATCCTTTCTTAGTTTTGCACAAACCTGTACGACTTACCTTTGATTTTATCAATG